AGAATAATCGAGATGACTGAAAATCCCCCCTGCAGATATCAACTGCTTTGTAAGTAGCTCTGATGAAGCAGAACGTGGCCGTTGCTTCAGGATATCAAGTGGTGTCATTCCATCCTTATCACGAGTATTGACATTAATATATCGGACAGTCATAAGTAACTCCACAAGTTCAGAATGAATATTTCCAATGACAGCCAAATGAAGAGCAGTTCTACCGTCATTGTTTTCAGCATTAACAATCTCTTCAACGTTGGAATTTTTTCCACAAACTAATTGCTTCATGAGATCGATTTGATGGTCCAATCTGCGGAAATAAGGCGTTTGGAAACCACTAATGGCAACATGAAGAAATGTTTCTCCAGCATTGTTTTTTGTATGGATCAACAAAGGTGAAGCAACAATGAGAGCTTCAACAACAGCTAATTGGCCCCTACAAGCAGCCACATGTAGTGCAGTGTTGCCTTGGTTGTCTATGGAGTCGATAATATCCGAACTTTTTAAAAGATATTTAACAACCTGCAACCGTAACCATTAACATTAGCATACTGCAGATTTGCAGCCACATCTCTAACAATATCTAAAAGCTTGTTTTGAGGTGTCGTTCAAAGATGAAAAACATAACAAGAATAAATGACCACAGCAACAAAGATCAATCATTTACTATTAGATGAAAATAGGATATCTGAAAATCCCGCTTAAACTTCTCTTTTTTAATAATGGATTTCCTATTTCTCTTGCTCCGCAAACAGTATGCATCACTGTTTAGTACTGACTTAAACCCTCCTATAACTATAAATTAGTAAAAGCAACTATTCATCTAACATGACAAATATCGAACTGAGACGGGCAACACCTACGAAATCTGCAACTCAGAAATCCTATCAGGAGAAATTTATGCATACTCAATAACAGTATAGAAGTTCCCAAGAAATTATGCAAAGCAAGATGATTCTTCGTTTTACCACTTCACAATAATATGAGTGCTTATGTCAAAACCTCATGGTTGAAACTTTTGAAGACTAATAACTTTTTGAGGTATAAAGTGACTGATTAAGATAGAAAAGTTACTGAGTTGTTGCAATTAGACTACTGAATACTAATTTAGCAGTTGATCTTGCTATACGAGTAGTAAGCACATATACAGTTTGTTAGTTCCACCGCCCTGTATTCACTGACGGAGACAGGAATACTATACAAGGCGATTCACCTAGGGTCATCTCGTATACCTTGGGGATTCAATAGTTTATATATAACCAAAAAAAAAAACATTTTTTCCCTATTTACACAATTGAACCCCCTTGCTAACACATAGCTCTGCCACTGCCTGTATGCTGTATTGATTTGTAAGAACCAAGAATCAAAAATATTCAAAAGCTTAAACTGGTAATTACAAGCAAATCCTACCTCGACCTGGCCTTTGCCAGCAGCCGTATGTAAGAGAGTTGCACCCTGAATGTCTCTGTAAGCCAATATATCATCAGAGCAGTCAACAAGAAGCTCCTTCAGTATCATAAGATTGCCTCCTCTAGCAGCTGCATGAATAGCTCTATTCATCATCTCCCATTTATAAGCAGATGGAATCTCCCCAATCTGTTCCTCTAAACCTCTGCCACCACATGCTATAAACCTTGGAGACATAGCAAAATCAAACAAAACCTTAAACACATCGCAGTTTTTACTCCTAGCAGCAGCATATAATATGTCAGTGACACCATACTCCCCTTCTCCAAAGACCAAAAGGGAGTCTTTTTCGAGCAATTCTCGAACAAAATCCAGGTCTCCAGCAGAGGCCGCAGTATATAATAGCCATCCACCATAGCCAGCTGTAAGTAGGGAATTTTTCCCTTTCTTGGTCTCACATTCAAGGTGAAGCTTCCTTGCAACCTGTAACCGACATCTAGCAACATCATCAAATTGCTCTTCATCATCCCAAACAGACTCGAGCCGTCTGATCCTACGTAGTGAAGTGAGCTTAATAAGGTGATTTCCATCTAAGCGAAGAAGCTCACGCACCAAATCATAGTGACCATTTGCAGCTGCCCAATCAATTGGTGAAGCATACCACCATTGGTCTCCAGTACTCTCCCAACGAAGTGGTAAGTATGTAGGAGGCATTTAAACGAATGCTTACAAATGATTGTACAAGTTCGTGAAGAGGGCTTGACGAGTGAAATGAGGGAAACCAGCTCGATCAACAAAAAACAAATAGTAGCCTACCTAGAACCTGTAAAAGTCACAATCAACAAATTCTCAACCAACATATGCAAACCATTCCCGTAAAGACTAAAACACACAAGAAAGACTCTTTATCCTTACCTTAAGAGCGGGATGAGTGCTAAACCAGAAAAAAGTTTGCCAATAAAGAAGTGATTTTTATTAAACAAAAAGATCTCAACTACTCTTTCAGGGATTTTACTCAGGAAAAGAGCCAATCTTTTGCTCAGAATAGGTCATTAATGATTATGCAACAAGAAAATACAACATTAAATTAATGATTGAAGATAAGATAGACCAAAAAGAGATTAACCCACAAACAAACTCCTCAAATATATCATTATGAGACAAGTTAAACACAGAGGAGAAGAAAGAGAGTAAAGGTGAATATACCTCCAAAGAAAAAAGCTAGAAACTTTAAAGCTTAGAGTACACACAAACACAATGAATAGAAATGAGAATACCAACTAGAAAGAAGTAATTTTTATGGATGAAAAAGTAGAAGCAAAAAAAATGAAAACTTGAAATACTTACCTTACTACAAGATGGATCTGTTCTGTGCTTAACCACAAAGAAAATGGAGGATAATTTACAACATAACAATTGAAGAAAAAGAGGAGTAAATCAGAAGAAGCATGGAGGTAGAAACAGAAAAAGAGGACAAAATCAGAGAAAAGATGAAAACTTTGGTAAGAAAGATTAAAGATGTTGATGAAAAGGTGGAAAGATTCTCATCGAAATGTGAAATTTTATAGATACATAGATAATTGGAAAAGGTGAAAGTGACTAATGACTAATGAAGAGGGCGCCAAAACTATAAAGACCGCGGGACTATGTTTAATGTTGCTGTTGCTGTTGCTGTTGTCGGATCAAATGTTACTGGTCCCTTGGAATTATTTCACCCACCTAAACGAAACTCAAGATAACTCATAGTCGTTATAATCTTGGTGACAACCTCCAACTCTATGGTGATGGATAAATTTTTTATTGTGTAATAGTCTGCAGATCACACATTATAATCCTTGACGCCTTCTATGGACCATTATTGTCTATTGAATATTACTATAGACTATATTGGAAAAAGACCAAAACAATGGAAGAAGCAAAAATGTATTTTGATTGGGCAAACGTTTGTGTTGACAATGGAAAAAAACCAAACAAATATAATGATACAAAAAACCAAGTCATGACTAGGTGCTGTACCAAAATGATTTTTCCTATTTTTCCCTAATGCTTTTCACGTCATGGTTGGTTTGACAATAACTATTTTCTATTTTTTTTTTCTTTTTTTTTTAAATAATTAGTGTCGGAGTCAAAATTTATAAAAAAATAAATTAAAGTATTATAGATTGTTACACATGTAATGAGTTAAAGTTGATTAAGAGTGAAGATCTTTTATTTATTTCATCACCTTTTTTTTAATAATAACGATTATATACCTATCATCTCTATCTTTAGGAGTAAAGATAAGATATGTGCATCTATGTACATCCTAATTTTGCTAAAAACATACTGTAATTGATAATTAAATTATTAATAATATGAATCGACCAAGGCATGGACCACAGTCAAATTTCTCCACGAACCTATCACACTCATTAGAGGATATGGCCATGTCAAAAAAGCAGTTTAGATTTGACAAATATCCAAAATATATAAGAAATAAGTGTAGATAATTATAGTAATGAATTATGTGATCCTCAAATTTAAATCATTACTTACACTACTTCCTTATTGTTGAACTCGAACAATTCTCATTTCTTTGAATTAGTTATTAAAATTAAGTAGGCTTAAGATTCATTTAATTTAAACTAAACTCATTCTTTCACATCCGTTGTGAATGGTTGTTTGGTCTTCTTATATGGTTTTGAATTACGATAACCCCTTGATTTAGTTTTTGAGGTTAGAATAATTAAATCGATGATTCATTTCTTTAACATATTATCAAGGGAAAAGGGTCTGATATACCCTCAATTTTGCCATTTCGAGCTGATATGCCCCTCGTTATGATAGTGGCTCATATATATCCTTACCGTTATACAAACGGCTCACATATACCCCTACCGTTACAAAATGAGCTCACATATACCCTTAATTTAATGGAAGTGGAAAAAATAGTTTTAAATTTATGTTTTTGACTTTTAAATTTAAAAAAAATCATGTAGGGGTATATATGATCCTTCTAGCGAATTTCAAGGTATATTTTAATCTTTTTTATACATAAATTATTTTTTGACGTCTTTGATTATCATTTTTTGAGTTTCTTATTCTTATTTTATTTTTTTCTTTCGTTCGTTAGTGTAAAGAGAAAATTTAAAAACTAATTTTTTGTGGCTATATTATAATTTAAAACTATTTTTTTCGTCTATATTGTTATTTAGTTTTTGTATTGAAAAAAATTTGGGTCATCTATAATAAAATTTACAAGAAAATTAGTGAAACATAAATAAATTTGACCATCAAAATAATAACTTTAAATTAGTCGTTGAAACAAAAAAAGTCAAAAAAAATTATGTGTGAGGAGGATTAAATATACCCGCATGGGATTATATTTTTTTTTAAAATAATAATAATTAAAATTAATCTTTTCACTTCTATTAGAGAAAAATGATATATGTGAGTCATTTGTATAACAATATGAGCATTTATGAGTCACTTTCATAATGAGGATATATCAACTCTAATTAATAAAATTGAGGGTATATCCTACCCTTTTCCATATTATCAAAGTACATGTCCATCTTAAAATTGAAAATTGTGAGACAAAGCATAAGGTCTCACAATTTTTATCCTTCTAATCCATCAACCCCTTTTCTTCCTGTTTTCAGATTTTGTTTATCACTGACCCTATTTTCAAAAGTTTCAATCTTTTTTCAGTCCTCATCTTGATATCTCATCCATCCACTAAACTACTAGTACCTTTTTAATGTAAGCTTCAACAACTTATATGAATGATGCTTTTTTTGTTCTTTTTATCCACTGTTTTCTACTAAAGTTCCTTTCTTTACTCTTTTTCAGGTGATTTCACTTCAAGAATAGTATCTTCTTTCTTGGAGTTTAACTAGATCTTTGTCTATTTGAGTCTTGATGAATAGTTTAGTGAACCCCATCTGAAAGAAACAATCAAGGTCAGTGCAAAGTTTGCTTCTTTTGCATATTAGAAATCAGAATTGTTGTCTCAGATTCAGAAAAAAAAATTAATATGTTTTTGAATGATGTATAAGTTCGTTTTTGTTGGTTCATCAGTATCAAGCATTTTGTGTTTTACTAAATGTTTCTGAACAAAAGATGAATTTGGTGAGAAAAAGTTGATCTTTTAGCTTTTTGCCCTAATGAAATTTGACTTCTTTAATCCTTTAGATATCCGGGATTTGCTTTTCAGATGACAAGAAGATTTATTGGATTAGTCAGGCACAACTATGGATTATATAGAGCTTATAATTTTCTTTAGGCCTTTAGGGAAGATAATGAAATTTGTGAGGTGAATGAGATAGCCAGTGGGTTGCTTTCAATTGGTTTAGCCATTTGGTTTTGCAGTTTAAACGTTTCTGATTGATGACGCATCTTTTGTTCCGAGAGTATTTAGATCAGTGAAGCAAGTAGGGGTTTACAGGAAGGAGATCATATCTTGTAGTGATGATCAAACAGATACTCAAAAGCTTCCTAGGAAGCCGTCTAAGTCAGCAGAAAATCGCGATGGACTCTCAAATGCTTCAACTAGTTCAATAAGCAGTGATCTGTCTAGTCCTCGGTCTGGGAATTCGAGTGCTATGTCTCTTTCAGGAGTCACTTCTTCTTTAGCTACTGGACTGAATAATGGAGATGGACTTCCCATGGCTGTAAACACTAAGGTGAATGGAACAGTTGCCCCGTATGAGGCGTTGCCTAGTTTTAGAGATGTACAATATTCTGATAAACAGAACTTGTTCATCAAAAAGCTGAAGTTGTGTTGTGTCTTGTTTGACTTTACTGACCCAACAAAAGGTTTGATGGAAAAAGACGTCAAGCGACAGACATTGGTGGAGCTTGTTGATTATGTTACTTCTGCAGATGGGAAATTCACGGAACCTGTGGTGCAAGAAATAGTTAAAATGGTGTCCTTAAACCTATTCAGGTCTTGTGCTCCTCAACCTCATGAAAATCAAGTATTGGAAGAAGAGGAACCCTTGATGGATGCTGCATGGGCACATGTGCAAATTGTGTATGAGTTGCTTCTCCGGTTTGTGGCATCACCAAAATTGGCTAAGCGATACATTGATCACTCTTTTGTTCTCAGGATATTAGATATCTTTGATTCTGATGATCTAAGAGAAAGGGAGTACTTAAAGACTGTACTGCACCGCATGTATGGAAAGTTCATGGTGCACCACCCATTCATTAGGAAATCAATCAACTATCACCTTTAGCGTTCAAATAACAATATTGTGAGGAAATTACAAGTACAAAATGTGCAAGGACCAAAATTCTTGTGCAGCATAGAGAATGAGGCAACATTAATAGTTACCATGCATGTTGTGATCCATAGCATTTTTGGGGGAGGGATGGCCATTTGGTGAACACCTCAGCAATATTTAAGAAGTAATCTAGTGAAAGTGTTTGCTCTAATGGAGATATGATATGCAAGAAAACGACAAGTGTAGTCCATCAGAATTACTTATCTCTTGAGAGGACATTATCAGCATGGCAGGGAATACACCAAACTAAAGATTCTTTTCTCTATTAAAAACTTTTTCGACCACCTCTTTTTTTCGCTATGTCCCACCATCTCAAACATACAAAGAAGTTAACGAAAGGAATATTCTGGCTTACCAGAGAGAGTTAGTTTGCCAGAATTTATAACTACAAATAAAATGCAAAAATAACCTTTTCTATGGGACATTTGATACTTGGCTTTTGCCTTTCTTGCTATGAATGAAATATAATAATGAACATGGACGTGGGTATAAAAACAGTGCCCCTATTCACTTTGGTGTGCATGTCATTGTTTTTCTCTGACATTGATGCTGAAGTCTTTGAAGGTTGCTTGCAGAAATATGAAGAGGATCAGGACCAAAAGTGAAACATGAGACTACATGGAAAAGATTAGAAGGAGATCATCGCTGCAATGAAAGCTATAAGCAATGAGTTAGTGCTAGTTTCTTGAAGGACCTTCCCTCATTCACCATTTAGCTAGAGACTCTTATATCTTCGTTACTGTTACTTTTCCGTTGAATTGAAGAGCTCACTAGTATGTGGAATCCAACAAAATAAGTTACATCAATTGTACATATGCAATTGCATTTTTGCTCGATAGGTGTATCCTCTTTTGTTGGATTTACAACTGATTGAAAGAGTACAATTTTTCAGGTATATGCTTATCATCTTTTTGCTTTTAGTTACCATCATGTGTATGTTATACATTTGCAGCTTGGCCTGAAATGTTTCTGTAGATAATCTTCAAAATATATAAATCAACGCAGGCGAAACACTGTGCTTTGGATGAGTTTTTTCAAAGTGGCTTACTTTTTTTCTTCCTCTTTAACTGTTCTTGTAAATCATACCACTCGTGAAATTTCACTGGATATGTTGTTGTTGCTGCTGTAAATCATAAAAGAAAACATTTGGTGAGTGTTTATATACATATGAAACAAGCCAGATAAGACATATGTTGTGACTTTTTATAGGGAAGTCTATTTTCATCACATATAAGATGAAGAATAGTTGTCAAAATAAAAAGGTGAAGTTTAGCTTTCATAAACAATTTGGTTATTGTTGTAGCATCTGTTTAGGCATGTGAATGCCAGCTAATTGGAAGAAGATTTGTCAGTTCAATTATCATTCAACACTATGCAAAGTGAAAAACTCAAATCTTGTGATAGAAAAAGTGAAAGGACTTTTTCAACTGATTAAGCTAAGTCTTGATGACAAGCGATCTATCTTGAGGGCACCTTGACTAATTCATCTGATATTTGTTTGACGCGGAGCTATGATATGAACAACGAAGGGTGTTCAATTAGATCCATTTGTTGAAAAATTATTCTGATCCATCCGATATTTGTCAAGGGTAAAACTACTTACATGGAAAGAGATTTTACAATTGGATTCCTTTGTAGATAAGATGTCACTTTACATCCTTTACACATTTAAACATGCAGTCGTCTTTGTTAACACTGTTCTCAACTGCCAAAATGTGTGACGATTTTGAGCGTGAATTTGAATTTAGTTGAAGCCCAATAAAAAAAACCAAAAAAATAATAATATTGAAATACTACTATTTTGGAGGCATTTTGTTTTTCAAATACTTTGTTATCTTTAAATGTAAAACAAATAATTAATAAGCACTTTAAAATATAAAGTTGAAGACAAATCTACCGTACAACCAAATAATAATAGCTCAATTTACTAACACCGACGCACGAATCCGCTGTGTCACGCGAGTACATCCACCTCACAATTTGTTCAATTATTCTCTTATGTATTTTATAACTAGATAATTTATCCGCGTTATTTATAATTCTATAACTTGTGTATTTTATTTAGAGCTCTCCTATGTTACTTATTACTTATTGATCTCATGCGGAAAAAAGAAGAAGAAATCATATAACAAAAATAAGGTTGAACTGCTGAACACATAAACATTCCCCTAAACTTGTTGGGTTTTTCCCTTCAAGTATCTCAACTACGTCATTTTTCTATTGAATTTTTGAACCACCCATAATTTGTATTTTTTAAACACGGTTGGCTGACATGGCACAAAATGTGATCTCACGTCGCTTAAGCGTGTGAGGACGTTTAAAAGGCATAGAAATCCCTGAAGCACCCATTAAGAAATACGTCTCATTTATTCACCAGCTCATGAACTTACAGTTTCACCAAAAGCGACAAGAAAAGGCTAAAAAAGATCAACGATTACACAAGGCCATAAGCAAGAATGTTTACCCCTTACTTGATAGAAATATTTACTCTTATTATACAACTAATTTTTTTTAGAATACATACTAGCTAAATTAATCGTCTTAGTTTTTTTTTTTTTAAAATAAAATCATTTAACTAATTACAAAATTTAAAAGTTCTTTTTTAAAAAAAAGAAAAAAAAAGAGCTCAATGGACTATGATTGATTATCATTGGGAAATAAGAAAAAGAAAAACTTAGAACACAAAAAGAAATTAAAAAATTAAAAATTGGATCTTTTTCTCCAATTGAATCAAGAAATCTCTAATACCTTTTCCTTAATCACAATCCATCTTCTTAATCCTTAAACCCTAAATTATCTTCTTCATTTCAATGTAATACATATCAAATACAATGGTGTTTTCATCAGTTTAGCTATACAATTTTGCTTCTTTCTTGATTTTTGGTGTGTTTTTTTTTTTTTTGAATGAAATGCCAAGCGTGGCTGTGAAATTATACAGTGTTTTCTTCAAATTTATGTTAAAGCATCGGTTGCAGAACCGAATCCAAATCGATGACACCATTAATGGGTCACAGCATTTTGGTGTAACATCTCGACCCAATGAAGAATCTATTGCTGCTTCCAATCCTTTATTCACTGATGGTGTTGCAACCAAAGATTTACATGTAGATCCAGGGACTTCTGTTTCAATTCGGATCTTTCTCCCTGAAACTTGTTTGGGTTCTCATGAATCTGATCTGAAATCGAAATCGAGGATTAGGGTGTCTGGATCTGACTCGAATCAGGGTCTTTTACGTCGAAATAGCTATGGGAATCAGACCCATGTTCAGAAGAATGGGTTTAATCATAGGAGAAGTAGTCTTGGTTCTGTTGCTGATGATCTTGGTTTGAAATCTGAAAATGGGGTTTATAGAGGGTATTCTCCTGTTACTGGGAAAAACTGTAGGAAGTTACCAGTAATGTTGCAATTTCATGGTGGGGGGTTTGTGAGTGGGAGTAATGATTCGACTGCGAATGATTTGTTTTGTAGAAGGATAGCTAAGCTTTGTGATGTTATTGTTTTAGCTGTCGGATACAGGTTAGCACCTGAGGATCGGTATCCAGCTGCGTTTGAGGATGGATTGAAGGTGCTGCATTGGCTGGCCAAACAGGTTAATTTAGCTGAATGTAGTAAGTCGGTTGGGAGCAGACGTGGTGGAGGGGCGGATTTGAAGAAATCTGATACGTATGGGCATATAGCTGATGCATTTGGAGCATCGTTGGTGGAGCCTTGGTTGGCTGCTCATGGGGATCCGTCAAGGTTAGATTTTGTCTACCTATCTCATTCATTTTATAGCCTTGTATATGCGTTTCAGCGAGAAGTTTAGATCACGGATTATTATATGTTACGATAATTGGTTGAATGTCCATTTCTCAAAACATAAACTAAAAAAAGATATGTGTTTGATAGTTGGTTCAATTTAATGGAATCAAGCATTAAGCTGAAATGTAGCCAGCTAGTCGCTAATATAGCTTATGAAGTATGCAATATTGCTGTGGAATGGGAATTTTTAGGTTGAGTGTAACCGCAGTAGCACTTTGTACTGAAAGTTGAAGCTGCTGCTAGAATGGATCAAAGAACACATTTTTTACAAATGCCTAGTTTTGGTTTTTGCTATCAAACAATACTTTTATGTGGCTGCTTAGTTTTGGGCCTTTTTCTTATAAAGGCAAGTGTGTTTGTGACCAAACTATGCGTTTATTCGAAGGGGAAGGAAAATGCATTATATATGCTTTTCAGTTTTCACCTTCTGTTCTGCATTTCTCTTATACTCTCTCTTGCTATCAAGTATCAACAAAAAAAATTCTTTGGTTTTTTTCTGGTTTTTATTTCATTTTATTCTCCAATTTTACAGGCTTATTGTTCGAAAATAAAAATGGCTTTCATAATTCACGGCAATAATGAGCACAACTGATAAAGGTGTTAGATATCCTTGATGAATAGTTTCCTTAGTAGCTTGCCAACTCATTTTATGTCCATTTCTTCATTCCAGTTTTGTCGGAGAGATGACTTGACAAAATAAAGAGTTCCTTTCAGAAAGATCTAGATGATAAACCCTATTATTACTTGATTAAAACGGAACAAGTATATAAAAGAAATGGGTGAAAACTTGCCCCAACTTGATGAATGAATCATATCTCTGCACAATGAATTGCATTACTATAGTCTTGATTCTCTTTTTTATCATCTCCAGTTACATTTAGGGATAGTTTGGTGTTTAATATATTTTTGATGTCGGTAAGTCATGGTTTATCATCAGGTGCCTTACATCAGCCAAAAGTCTACCTACCTAACAAAACATTACTTTCCAAATGGCAGTGGAGAATTAGCAGAGGAAAAAGAATTAAGAGAGATGTAATTATGGTTAGATGCGTGGAAGGTTTGGTGTTCAAAGCAATTAGCTTATCTTTTTAGTAGGAAGGCAGAAGTTAAGAAGAAGTTGTGGCAAATAACTGCATACTCCAAAAAGTAGAGAATCTGCAAAAGAATTTGATAGGGAGATTTCCTAATATTTTCTTTTTCAGAAGAGGTGATTTGAAGGACAAGTTGCTACTCTATACTGCATAAGTTTTCTTTTAGCAACTTTTTTGAATTAATAGTGTAATATGGAATACCTAAGAAACGATCTAACAAAATTCTCTTTTGGGGCTATAACATGATGTACAATTATATACAGCACTTCCTTACTGCTTGTTGGTGACTCAATATCTTACTTATCATAAAAGAAAGGTGCCTCTCTATCATATGTTAGGTGACATTTTTGAATGTGAATACAAGCCTAATAATGCTTGTCTATGCTTTGCCAAATGAAGACTCCCTTCTTTTCCTTTCGTTCCTTCAAATGTTGTAAGTAGTAACTCACTAGTTTTTTTTGTTCTTTTGATGTGTTCATCCAGGTGTGTTCTCCTAGGAGTGAGTTGTGGGGGAAATATAGCTGATTATGTGGCTCGGAAAGCTGTAGAGGCAGGTAAGCTTTTGGATCCAGTGAAAGTGGTGGCGCAGGTTTTGATGTATCCTTTTTTCATTGGAAGTGTTCCAACACATTCCGAGATTAAACTAGCAAATTCCTATTTCTATGACAAGACCTTGTGCACTCTTGCGTGGAAGTTATTTTTACCTGAAGGGGAGTTTGACTTGGATCATCCTGCTGCTAACCCTCTCACCCCTGGAAGAGGACCTCCACTGAAACGGATGCCCCCAACATTGACAGTGATAGCGGAGCATGACTGGATGAGAGACCGTGCCATTGCCTACTCAGAGGAACTACGGAAGGTAAACGTTGATGCTCCTGTTCTCGAGTACAAGGATGCAGTTCATGAGTTTGCAACTCTTGACATGCTTCTTAAGACCCCTCAAGCTCAGGCTTGTGCCGAGGACATTGCCATCTGGGTTAAGAAGTATATTTCACTTCGAGGTCATGAATTCTCATATTGAACCAGATAGATTGGTCCTGTATAGCAGCATGTATGTGACATAACGATACCTGGGATTTGAGGTCTACTATATCTCCTCGCTCTGAAATTTCAGGCATATTCTTTTTTCCTCGTTGTGTTCCTTTTGTAATATAGATGACTTTGCCGGAAAATAGAAATTAGTTGAATTCGAGGCATATACGAGGAGTTTAATTATGCTTGTTTGACATCCTTGTCAACAATTTTTCTTGTATTGAGATGTTCCTCTGCCATAAGAGATCAAGGAATGAAATGCTCCTCTTTATTTCTTATCTTTTATTCTTTTATTGGATTCTTCCTCTAAAAATGAGTTCAGACAACTTTTTGATAGAGTTCTGTATTTTACTTGCACAAGAAATTTTCTCATGTCTACTAGTAATGCAATCTAAATTCATATTTGTTTGTTAAAACTTCACATTTTCAAATGGCCACAAAGATGACAGTCAGCCATAGTCATCCGAATATCCCGTGTGGAAGGGTTGTTGCTCAAAATATCTAAGGTACGTTGAGGACCAACTTGTACACACCAGTACAGGTAACAGGTAATTCTGCTTATCGTTGAGGACCAACGTGTACACACCAGATATGCATAATTTAAGTAATTCTATCTTCACATTACTCCTATCTTCTCTCTTGAGTCTATCTATATCTATATGTGTAAGAAAAAATATAATTATATATAATCCTAAACTTGGCTTTAAATTATAACTTTGACCTCAAACTTTCAAAGTGCACAAACAGACAAAAAAAAAACAAGTTAGAAGCCATTTACACTAAAAATGAGCAGAAATCGTGCTAAAGAGAAAAAAAATCTTGATTTGAAAGAAGAGGGGAAAAATGAGATTTTGATTTGAAAATATATATAAAGATATATATAAAAGGGATTCATTAAGGGTATAATTGTCATTTCAGCATTTTTTTACCATTGTGGGCCTCGGAGTTTATTCCTGACGCCCCCAGATTGAGTGCACATCACGCGTTTTGCTAGGTGAGACTCGAGTGTTTATTTATTTAAAAGTTGGATAGTTAAAATATATGTTTGTACATTTTAAAAGTTTGAGGTCAAAGTTATAATTTGAAGTAAAAGTTATGTGTTATATATAATGAAGTAATAAAAAGTAGAATTTACCTTCTCCTACTTTGGGAGAAAAAAAAACATAAAACATCCAAATTGACCAATTTGTAAACCCAATTTTAAATTGATAGCGATCGAGATGCCACCTCCGTTGCCGGAAACTGATTCCCCGGCGCCAAAGAAGCATAAACTAGGAGATCATGCCAATATCTCCGATGAGGAGGATGGTTATACCAATCCGATATTTAGGACTTGTACTGTCTACGATTCGGAAGAAGAAAATTATTGCCCAGATATCCCCGGTGCCAAAATGGATAAACCTCTCTGGGAGAAATACTGGAAACAGATCAAGGAGAGCGAGGTATCATTCATCTCTTTCAAATTACTATCATTTAGCTTCAACCTCTTTAATCCAATGCACAATAGGAGTTTAATTAGTGCGCTTGTCTCTGTAAATTGAATTCTACGATAATTGTAGGCTTGTGCCGAGGACATTGCCATCTAGGTTTGAGAGGGTCCTGCATGTATAGTAGCATACATGATGATATTTTGGATTTAAGGTCAACCATGTCTGGTTCTCAAGTTTCAGCCATATTCTTTGTCTACTGTAGACTATACAGTTTGAACAAAAACACACACCTGAAGAGCCCTTGAGCATAGCCACTGCACCTCAAATCTCCAACAAAACTAATTACCACATATAAATATGATGAACTAAGTATGTCTATTCTATCAAACCTCCCTCTTAATTTGTGTCTGTACATGTACTCCTTTGAAAATTTTCCAGTTTCGGGCTCTCCAAGTATGATAGATCATTGCCCCCCAAGTCGCAGCTACCACTTGCTTCTAAAACTGCTTCCATTGTGCTTTAGCTAATTCTAATCTAACTTTGCATAAATTTGCCAGAGATTTATTGCTGTGTGCTTGTTAGTTTCATGAGATGAGTTGTGCTACATAGTCTTTGTTTACTTAATTTAACACTACCCCTATGGCAGAATTAACTCACTGCAGGCCTTTGGTTATTTCTGTCTGTTATTTAAGAAAATTGGGTTAGAGGACCATGAAATTTACTTGACCAAAAAAGGAATTAAGAATATTACTTGTTTTGAATGGTGGCTACATTCAAGGAGGTAACATATACAAAGCAAAAGACTTTGCTATGTGGTACCACAAGCCAATATTTTTGGATACTTGCTTGATATATATAGGCTCTACAATTGTTACATAGAGACATTCGGATACAACATTTGTCTCTTATTGGTTTGGTTGTATATTTGTAGGGATTTGATATCACAGATTGTCCTGGAGGGTGTTGGATGACTACTATCTGTCCCATGCAATACTACTTGAACTCTACTGAGAATGTTGACCAGTTGAAGGGTTATGCTGGAAAGGCACTTGAGCATTACAACACTATTAATGTATACCACTTCCCATACCTTGCCAGTTTGGCGTTTTCCTTGTACTAATAACTAAGAAAATTTAACTTTGTTGATTTTTTCAGGGCACTAGTTATGAGGTCGAGAACATTTTGAAGGTGAATGGAGAAGCTGTTGGTCGTTATTTTGCTTACTATCTTACCTTTTCTACCAAAAATGGTGAGAAGAATGATACTTTTCAAGCAAAGGTGCTGGAAGATTTAGATGATTCCATACAGTGTCTTATTGTCAGACCTAAGGTTGCTACCATGGGGTAAAGGATGTTATTAGAATTGTTAGACATTTGTTGGTGTTTCTTGTAATGTTTTCAGCATTTTGAAATTGGGATAAGATAACACAATATTTTCTCTACTTTGCCAAGCATTATATCATATCACTTCAATCGATCCATCTTTCATCTATCAGCAACAATAATAAACACATAAAAGAGCACAAGGCCAGGCATGGCATACAACATTGTTTGTTCATATTTACAAATTCATAAAATAGAAAGTTTACTAGCCACAGTTTCTTTTCTTTAATTATGTATCTGTCTTCACTTCAGAATAACTGTGTACACTGTATATCTATCTATGCTTCTATCCCAAGCAAGTTGGATTCCTTATATTGCTCCATTTAGGGTCATCCATTATAGAATATTATGTGTACCTAATCAAAATATACATTTGCTATCTTACAGTCGAGACAGATTTTCCAATGAATGATGCATTATACATCTTCCTTGTTTTCGTGATCAGAAGTTTTAAGTAATGGCCTCTTGCCTATCACATCAACATCTCGAGAAGTCCCAATCTTCCAAGCAGGATAGATCACATAATGTTGCAAAATGAAGAGAATGTCAAAGAATATCGACACCTGCAACATTCATCCACCAAACCAAATAGTAGTCAGAGCTATTCTCGTGATACTAGCAATACAAGTGCTAAAATTAGGAAAGAAGCAGTGTCTTAGGCCTCAATTTAAGGAACCAAAGTTATTTTAAAAAATGGGAAAGAACTTAGAAGACATCCGTCAGTCCAAACCAACCCTACTTCATATAGAGAAGGCCTCTAACCTTTTTTTCATTCAATAGGAAATAAGGAGGTCTTGAACCTTTTTTAGCTGTAATTTGCTGCTATTTAAAACCTTTCAAGTTGTAACTCTTCATTATCTCATCACTCGACATGCTTCTTCTTCACCCTCACAAGCACACTATGTTCTACACATTTGATTAGGGTCATTTTTTGAGTCATTTACGTGGGAAAAGTATCATAAAGTCCTTAAACAATGAAATCAAGTATAATAGCAATAGACATGATGAATGTAGCAAACAGATAGATGGATAGAAAGTATCATTTCATACCAATGACAATAAAGTCTTGCCTATGTTTCCATAAAAGTTCACCCATGAATCTGCAGAAAAGGAGTTCAAACGGTATATTAAGCACATATACAACTTCTCTTAGACTTCACGAGAATATAACAAGAAACTGCAGATTATATCTGAAGAAGTTTATAATTGAAATATAGAAACTCACTCTGATCTATAGATTGCATTGCCATCTGGCCATAAGTTGTGACACCTCCAAGCAAGTCCAGCAAAATGTTGCCAATACTAAATCCAATAGTGCTCTTCCGCTGAAAGTTCATAATAGCCTGTAGATTTGAAAGAGGCAAGAAGTCAATCCAGGAAGTACAATTGAACTCACACTGAAAATCAGAATCAACTGAACAAAGGACTTTAGACATATCAAACAACTATATTATTTTAAAGAGAAGTGTAAACCAAAAATAGAGCACAACTGATCAGAAGGTAGAAGAACTTTGATAACAAATAATTTGAATGCATGCAGTTAATACCTGAGGAATGTACTTAATAACTGTCATGACAACCTGTAACGTGCTGCAATCAAGATTCAAACACAGAACATTAGCTACTTGAACACTCACGCTAATGGTGAGTCTAAATAAGTCATACACCACGTATATAGAGATATAAACTTGGCCTTTGGAAAGAAAATGAAGAAGAAGATATCGAGCTTATGAGTTACTTCAGAAGTACCAAAACAATCGACTGATGGATAATCATCTATTACTATAGAAACTTCTTACCCTTTTTGTAAACACTCAAAAATGGGTGCCTTATTTGCTAAAAGTATTTATCTTGGAAGAAAGGCGGAGAGAAAGAATGGGCAGTCATAGACTTCAGGAATGGTTCTTACTTGAAGCAGGAGATCAGCCAAAGCCAGGAATGGCTGGGGAGAGCGATAAACACACAAACTGCAACAGTTAACCAAGCAACACACACGATCCCAACTGAAGTCCTTGAGACCTTCTGGTTTCCACGCTGTAAAGAAAGCAATCAGTGCCAAAGTGAGAACGAAGGCATTTATCAGGGTCTCAATCAGCTTCAAATATAATATACGGTTTCCATGAACTACCTTCCAGATTTAAAAAAGAAAAGAAAAGGAATAACCTTTACTAGAACATGTTCATCTCATTTCCAGTTCCGTATCCATACAAAATTTGAACTGTAAAAAAGAGAGAAAATAAGAATGGTCCACTTACATCATAAATAGCAATCTGAAACAGGGTAAATGCTGTCAACAGAACAGCATGGATTGAGAAAGCAACATCATTGGCAGCCACAGGTATCATCTGCAGTAAGATAATCAAGGGAATAAGCAAGAAAGTGACTCAACTACATGGAGGGCTCCTACACATAACATCAACCAAGTTAACAAGATAAAACACTAACAGTTCTTAAGAAATGGAGACTAGACAAAAGTAGTATAACTACTTTATCACCAGTTAATTACGAAAAAGATGCTGGTTTTCTTTCCAAATAAGTATTTTATTTTCAGAGCAGCCATCATACTTCTTCTTTTTTTCCCCCTTTTTTGGAAGGTGATGGTGTCTGATTAGGGGCAGATTGAGGTCCAATTTACAGTGCACATGAACCTATGGTCTCTTCACAAAATTAGACATTTTATGTACATATTTCCTAGTATTGATCTAATAGTATCAGCTGGCACTCATGCTACTAAAAGATTGTATGGTGCACTTAGTTGAATGTTAAGTTATTTCCCAAGGGAATAAGGATCAATTCCCACTTAAAACTACCTTTTTTTAGTGGTTCCTAGATCCACCTTTGTGTCTGATCAGTCTGCCTGACTCGACTAATCCCCAGTGTGCTTTAGTAACTAAGATCCCATCTGTGATCTACTCATATACCTCAATCACTCAACGAGTTTGTCCTAACCCCAAAATCAACTAAAGATTACCAAGGCATCCACTATCTTAATAATTTTTCCACATACATATAGTTTGAGCAGAAAGCAATAGATATGACTGCACACAGCTACCACAAAGTTAGATCCACTCATGAGTCAAAGAAAAGCAGTGTAATAAGCTACAAAACAACCAAAAGACAAAATTTCTAACCTCATTAAGACCATATTTCTCACGGTACTGCTTCTGAACAACAGAACTAAAGAACATGGAAGCATTATAAATGAGATAAGACGAGTGTTTTGTCAAATTCAACACCACGAAATCGAAATTCAACCCCACCACACTGTGTTTCAATACACAAAACGAAAAGGGTCAGCAGGAAAATCAAGAAAGATACAAACTTTGATGAAAACAAACAGAAAATCAAAGTAAAAATGGAACCTTTTGCGTCTGAAATTCAAGATTACTTGAGGGTAAAAGCTAATAGACCAAGAGAAAAATGCGATCCATCCCAAACTAGTGTACAGAACTTCAAGAGGAATTGAATTCCAAGATGCCATCTCTAATCTTTGATTTTCCCCAAAATCCCCAAAAAAAAAAAAAAACTGATCAATGAATCTTTATTTACATAAAAAAATTGATTCTTTTTGCTGAATGTTTAAACCAATAAGAATATTAGGCTTTAAATGTGCCCCATTAAAATGAATTGAGCCTTGCATGGCGTCTCAATTCACATTTAAAACTCCCCCTTCCCAAATTTATATGACATAGTTTTATTGGACACAAAATTTATTAGTAAGATTTGAGAAGGGAGGTGTTAGGTGGATAGGCAGAGAGATTGTTTTTTGGTAGATTTTTTATTCAAAAAGCATGTAAAACAAAGTCAATAAGCCAGGCTGAAAATAATGAAGAAGAGAATTGTAGCAATAACAAAAATAAAATAGGGTAATTGAAGCAACATAAACACATGTAATATTAAAATAGAAGAATAAGATAGTAAGAGAATAATAACAACAATATTAAAAGTGGAAACTAGACAATGTTAGACATACGAACCCTCCACCCTAATAATTGACCACAATATTTTCCTATTTAGAATCATGCCCCAGGTTAGTTGTATGTGAGTAAATATCTTGTCTAATCAACTCTTTTCGAGATTTCTTTGACATACCTCTTCCCCACCTTATACCTACCATAATCAACATCTTTCACCTCTTCACTAAGGCATATTTATCTTTTCTTCACATGTCACTCCACCTTCTCTGAGGCATGTTAAATTTCTTTATTTGTTTGTAGGTATGTATTAGGAGAAAAACCTATAATTTAACTATTTTATGTAAGCAAGTTGAGTACAAGTTAAGTGAAGTGAAAGAAAATTATTTCCTCATTCTGTTTTTAAGATAAATGATTGAGAAATTCCATTAAATAAATACGATTGATAAATTTTGAATCTAATAAACTTTAAAAATATAGAGAAACTTACATAATTTTATATACATATATTCTAGTTTGCAATATTACGTATCTTATCAGATTTTGGTGCGTCCAGATACATCGAGATACATGTATTTCGGGATACATGGGGTCAAAATTAGGTGTAATTTCTTCTAGACACACCGTATCCAAGTGGTGCGATACATAACAAATCTCACTCGCCTCCCTCCCATCTTGCTCACCACTCTCCTATATATCTAGTATCTCAGGTACATGCGAACCACAATAGATATATTGTGGTTCACATGTATCTGTGATACATAACAAATCTCGCTCGCCTCCCTCCCTATTTCGCTCAACTCTCTTCCTATTTTAGTGTATCTAGTAACAAAAATACATGTATCTAAGTGTATTTTAAAAAAATATATGATAGAAAACTCTTAATTAGTAATAAGATACGTAATATTTTAAAAGTATAAATAATATTAATATATATATGATAGTACAATATATCTAATAATGTAGTTTCTTCCAAACATTATTATATGATAAAATTTCAAATTCAAACATCTACTTAAAAGCCTTTGATAAAGGCGACTCCTTTTTCCTAGGAGATGCTTGAATGACAAGGCCCAACATGTCATTTATCATGGACTGGACCAATTGTTGGTAAATGCCGGTCGCAATTATATTCATATTGGAGTTGGGGTGTATTTAGGGGTCCGTGTTCACCGAAATTCT